CTACATATCTACACATTGTAAATATAATGTTCGTAGCAATATCCATGTGTTCACATTGTAGATATANAGTAGGAATATGCATATCTACACATTGTAGATCAAGTGTTATCCATATCTACACATTGTAGATATAGTGTTTGTAGCAATATCGATATCTATATATTGCAGATATAGAGTTTGTAACAATATCCATATCTACACATTGTAGATATATTGTTTGTTGCAATATTGATATCTACACATTGTAGATATGGTGTTTGTAGCAATATCCATATCTATTTATTGCAGATATAGAGTTTGTAACAATATCAATATCTATACATTGTAGATATTGTGTTTGTAGCAATATCTATATAAATACATTGTAGATATAGTATTTTTGTTTGTAGCAATATCCATATCTACACAATATATATTTTGTGTTTATATCAATATCCACATCTATACATTGTTAATATAGGGTTTGTAGCAATATCCATATCTGCACATTGTAGATATAATGTTCGTAGCAATATCCATGTCTACACATTGTAGATATAGTGTTTTTGTTTGTAGCAGTATCAATATCTACACATTGCAGATGAAGTATTTGTAGCAATATCAATATCTATACATTGTAGATATAGTGTTTGTAGCAATATCTATATAAATACATTGTAGATATAGTATTTTTGTTTGTAGCAATATCCAGATCTACATAATTAAGATGTGGTGTTTATATCAATATCCATATCTACACATTGTAGATATAATGTTCGTAGCAATATCCATGTTTAAACATTGTAGATATAGTGTTTTTGTTTGTTGCAATATACATATCTAAACATTGTAGATATAGTGTTTGTATCAATATCTATATCTGCACATTGTAGATAAAGAGTTTGTAGCAACATTTATATCTTCACATTGTAGATAGAGTGTTTTTAGCAATAACCATATCGACACATTGTAGACAAAGTGTTTTTGTTTGTAGCAATATTCATATCTATACATTGCAGATATAGTGTTTGTAGCAATATCCATACATATATATTGTAGATATAGTGGTTTTGTTTGTAGCAATATCCATACGTACACATTGTGGATATAGTGTTTGTAGCAATATCCATATCTACACATTGTAGATATAGTGTTTGTTGCAATATCCATATCTACAATGTGTATCTATTGCGTTTTTGTTTGTAGTAATATCCATATCTATACATTGTAGATATAGTGTTTGAAGTAATATCAATATCTACACATTGTAGATATATTGTTTGAAGCAATATTCATATCTACATATTGTAGATATATTGTTAGTAACAATATCCATATGTACACATTGTAGATATAGTGTTAGTAGACATATCCATATCATCTCACTTTAGATATAGTGTTTGTAGCAATATGNCGATATCTACACATCATAGATATAGTGGTTGTAGCAATATCCATATCTACACATTATAGATATAGTGTTTTTGTTTGTAGCAATATCCATACATACACATTGTAGATATAGTGTTTGTATCAATATCTATATCTATACATTATAGATAAAGTGTTTGTAGCAATATCCATATTTACACATCATAGATACAGTGTTTGTAGCAATATCCATATCTACACATTGCAGATATACACATTGTAGATATACACATTGTAGATATAGTGTTTGTAGCAATATTCATATCTACACATTGTAGATATAGTGTTTGTATCAATATCCATATCTACACATTGTAGATATAGTGTTTGTAGCAATATCCATGTGTTTGTATCAATATCCATATCTACACATTGAAGATATTATCTACACATTGTAGATATAGTGTTTGAAGCAATTTCAATATCTTGTTACACATTGTAGATATACAGATTGTAGATATAGTGTTTGTAGCAATATCTATTTCTACACATTGTGGATATAGTGGTTTTGTTTACAGCAATATTCATATCTACATATTGTAGATATATTGTTAGTAGCAATATCCATATATACACATTGTAGATATAGTGTTTGTAGTAATATCCATATCCGCACGTTTTAGATAGAGTGTTTGTAACAATATGCATATCTATACATTGCAGATGAAGTGTTTTTGTTTGTATCAATATCCATATCTACACATTGCAGATATAGTGTTTGTATCAATATCCATATCTACACATTGAAGATATATTGTTTGTTGCAATATTGATATCTACACATTGTGGATATAGTGTTTGTAGCAATATACATATCTGTACATTGTAATTGTGTTTGTAGCAATATACATATCTATTTATTGTAGATATAGTGTTTGTAGCAATATCAATAGATATACATTGTAGATATAGTGTTTGTAGTAATATCCATATCTACACATTGTAGATATAGGTGGTTTTTTGTAGCAATATCTATATCTATATATTGTGGATATAGTGGTTGTAGCAATATCCATTGTAGATATCGATATCTACACATTGCAGATATAGGTGTTTTTTGTACTATATAGTGTTTGTAGCAATATCCATATCTACACTTATTTACACATTGTAGATATAGTGTTTGTAGCAATATTCATAACTACATATTGTAGATATAGTGTTTGTAGCAATATCTATTTCTACACATTGTAGATATAGTGGTTTTGTTTATAGCAATATTCATATCTACATATTGTAGATTTAGTGTTAGTAGCAATATCCATATCTACACATTGTAGATATAAACATTGTAGATATAGTGTTTGTACCAATATCCATATCTACACATTGTTTATATAGTGTTTTTATTTGTAGCAATATCCATATCTACACATTGCAGATATAGTGTTTGTAGCAATATCCATATCTACACATTGTAGATATAGCCAAATTGCCCTCTTTTGGCCCCGCCCCTCCGCCCCTTGGGGTCAACTCCACCATTTGTACAATTAAAAAAGAATAGCTTTTAAAAAAATCCAAATTATTTAATATCTTTATTTATAAACATTGGTGTGAAAAAGACATTTGTTTTATAGGGGATCTTGTTGAAAATAATATTTTTTAACACATGAATACTTTTGTGAGAAATTCAATTTGGCTGTTAATTTCATTGATATTTTTGGAATTTTAAATGCAATACCTAGGTCAAGGAAACTAATTTTATTTCAAAGAAATAAACCAATTCAGGCAAAACAATGTAAATTTATTCAGTATTTGAAGAAACATGAAAAAATCAGTCACAGAAATACCAAAGAAAAGTCAAGATGCATGGCAGGAAAATTTTACATGCAAACATTCCCAAAGAATCCTGGTGTAAGGTTTATTCAATTCCGAGATATGTTACAAATGACACTAAACTTTTCAGTTCAAACTCTTTCATAGAATTCGTTATACTCATACAAAATTAATGCAATATGTAAATTGAGTGAAACAGAAAGATGCACATTCTGTGGTGAGGGAAGAGAAACATTAATACATTTACTATGGGAATGTTGTCATGTACAATCTCTTTGGTCATTCTTTATGTATCTCTTGAGGTCACAATATGAAATAGACTTATCAAGAGACCCAGTAATCATGTTGTTTGGGTATATTGTGCAAATTAAGGAGGTAAACCCCTACAATTACTGAATGGAAAACTTAAATGTTATTTTTTTTATAAAAAAGTAGAAGAGTGTGGACTTGATACATATTCAAATAGAAAACAAATTATGGTTAATCAAAATGGAATTTCATTGACAGAATGCTAATTTTTTTTTGGATACAATCTCGAGAGTGAAATCACTCATCAAATATGTTAAAATTATTGTAGCAATGTAGCAGTATGAATTTTTAAATTTGTATTTGTTGTAATTAATTTTCATAGGTGCAAGTTCTGTTCAAAGATGTGGATAACATACGCACAGAGGCCTTTTATTATTCTTACTGATATTACATATTCTTGTATATTTTGAATGTGACAACAAAAAATTGAATATTTGTTTTTTAAAAAGAATATATTCATATCTACACATTGTAGATATCGTGTTTTTGTTTGTTTTATGTCATGCAGAAATTATATATCGTTTTAACAATGTTATTACCACTCACTCTTTGTAAAAGCATATCATGCTCCTTAAAATTCCATTTTAAATGTGGTTTGTCTCAGTAAATGTCCATGTATCCTATTCTATATATATGCGTTTTTTTATCTACCAGCATTGGATTTGTATGCCATACTAGAAATGTTTTATCTCGTATATGCGTTAAGCTGACAAATCATTTTACATCAACACACATAAACACGATTAATGGTATAATGCAACTGGATAAAACTTAAAAAAGGACTGGAAACTTACCGTCATGTAGACACCGTAGTAACTGAACATGATCAAGACGAAAGGACCAACGAAGCAGAAGATGAAAATACTTAAAATATAGCTCTGTATCGATGGATCGTTCGGCTCAAATGACACACCACAAGAAACCCCTGAGTCCTCAAGTCTGTAATAGTTCCAACCAAAGAACGGCGTGGCAGACCAGAAAAGTCCCCCCATCCAACAGGCGGTGATAGACAGAGCGGCGACTCCATGATTGATCTTGTTGGCCTGAAGTGGTTTGGCGATGACTATGTACCTGTCTAAAGATATGGCGCAAAGTAGATACAAGTCTGTTAACCCTAAAACATACACTAAGAACCCTTCAATTGTACAAATTAGGTCACCGTGTATCCAACGCTTATTGTAGGACGCAGAGGCAGCGAAAAGACAGATCGAGGACATCGCCAAATCGTCCACCGCAAGCGCCATCACGAACATGTTTGTCGCGGTACGCAGATTTTTATTCTTGAAGAATACAAGCAAGGCGCTGCCATTAAAGAATGACCCCAAGATCCAAGTAAAAAACAATATCACGGCAAACATATTGTAGTATATATCAGGGATGTAGTACTCCTCCTCCGGATCCAAGGTCAAAGATGACCCGTTGGTTGTGTTATTGCCCTCCATATTAAATACGTAGGACTACAAACAATGTCACGTTGATTCTGACTTGTGTTCAGTGTTCTTTAATATGTGTAAAAATTCACAACTTGTTCCAGCACTGATTATATGAATTCATATGACAATCCCTAAACTGGGAAACTTGTATGCAATCTGTTCCGAACGCTACGAGTTGTTTGCCGTTTGGTATGTCTCGATTACAGCGTATATCAGTGCGCCAGTATGCTTAAATAACTTGGTCCTTTGCCCCTCCCTCGGCAATGTGCCAATATTTGTTTGATTACATTTCCTGGACAACCAATGGAACACAGCTATATATAGCATATCAATAACCGTATAAGAGAAGTGAGGAAGTTGTTCGTGTTGTTGGCAATGTGCTGATTACGTTGATGGGTTTACCGCTATTCGCACCATACCCAATCTGGTTTGATAGTGTCACGGCATCTATTAAAACAATACCGAAGCCCAGAGAAGCTTCACGGTTTAACTTCTGGGACAATCCCGGTAAAACAACGGCATTGACGCCCAAGGAAGATTGCTTGCTCCACTTATTGGACGGTATTTTAGTTGCAACGGAAGTAATGCCATCAAAAATTCAATTGGGCACCTCAAATGACAATCCCCGTAAATTTGGGAGAACAAGTTCTCAGACAATATTCACTAGAAAACGTTATGTACAAAAAGATAAACAACGTGATGTATGTGACAATACCGTTTAAGACGGCTCCATTTTACTCAACATTTCCGATGTCCGGTGTAGGTTGACAGAACGACAGAACGGCCTCTCGTTGATACAACAGTACCGACACCCGGGTACGCTATGCTGATCTTAACGATGATCCTACTAATACGACAGTACTAATACCAGGGTAAGCTATGCTGATCTTAACGATGATCCTATTACTATGACAGTACTAACACCCGGGTAAGCTATGCTGATCTTAACGATGATCCTATTAATACGACAGTACTAACACCCGGATAAGCTATGCTGATCTTGACGATGATCCTATTAATACGACAGTACTAACACCCGGATAAGCTTTGATGATCTTGACGATGATCAAATTAATACAACAGTACCGATAGTAAGCTATACTGATCTTGAGGACGATCCTATTAATACAACAGTTATAACACCCGGATAATCTACGTTGATCTTGACGAAGATCTTATTAATACATCAGTAGCGATATCCCGGTAAGCTTTGCCGATCTTGACGATAATCCTATTAATACAACAGTACCGACACCACGGTAAGCTTTGCTGATCTTGAGGGCGATCTAATTAATCCAAAAGTACCGACACCCGGGTAAGCATTGCTGATCGTGAGGACGATCCTATTAATACAACAGTACCGACCCCCGGGTAAGCTACGCTGATCTTGAGAACGATCCTATTAATACAACAGATATAACACCTGGGTAAGCTACGCTGTTCTTGACGACGATCTTATTAATACAACAGTACCGACACCCGGGTAAGATATGCTGATCTTGAGTAAGATCATATTAATACAACAGTACCGAAACCCAGGTTAGAAACGCTGATCGTGAGGACGATCCTATTAATACAAAAGTACCGACACCCGGGTAAGCTACGCTAATCTTGCGGACGATCGTATTAATACAACAGTTATAACACCTGGGTAAGCTACGCTGTTATTGACGACGATCTTATTAAAACAACAGTACCGACACCCGGGTAAGCTATGCTGATCTTGAGTAAGATCTTATTAATACAACAGTACTTATACCGGGATAAGCTATTCTGATTTTGAGAAAGATCCAAATAAATACAACTGTACCAATTATCGGGTTAACTATGCTGATCTTGAGGACGATCCAATTAATTTAACAGTACCGACACGCAGGCTAGTTATGCTGATCTTGGGGACGATCAAATTAATAAAACAGTACCGACACCAAGGCTAGCTATGCTGATCTTTAGGACGAACCTTTTAATACAACAGTTCCGAGACCCGGGTAAGCTACGCTGTTCTTGACGACGATCTTATTAATACAACAGTACCGACACCCAGGCTAGCTCTGCTGATCTTGAGGACGATCCTATTAATACAACAGTACCTACACCGGGGTGAGCTATGCTGATCTTGAGGACGATGCTATTAATACAACAGTACCTACACCGGGTTGAGCTATGCTGATATTGAGGACGATCCTATTAATACAACAGTACCGACACCCGGGTAAGCTACGCTGATCTTGAGGACAATCATATTAATACAACAGTACCGACAACGGGGCAAGCTATGCTAATATTGAGGTAGATCAAATTAATACAACAGTACCAATAATCGGGTTACTTACGCTGATCTTGAAGATGATAACATTGATACAACAGTAGCGATACCCGTGTAAGCTTTGCTGATCTTGAGGACGATCCTATTAATACAACAGTACCAAGGTTACTTACGTTGATCTTAAAGATGATAAAATTGATACAACAGTAGCGATATCCGTGTAAGCTTTGCTGATCTTCAGGACGATTCTATTAATACAACAGTTCGGACACCCGGGTAAGCTTTGCTGATCGTGAGAAAGTTCCTATTAATACAACAGTACCGACACCGGGGTAAACTTTGTTGATCTTGAGGAAGATCAAACTAATACAACAGTACCAATTATCGGGTTACTGATGCTGATCTTGAAGATGATAACATTGATACAACAGTAGCGATACCCGTGTAAGCTTTGCTGATCTTGAGGACGATCCTATTAATACAACAGTACCAAGTATCGGGTTACTTACGTTGATCTTGAAGATGATAAAATTGATACAACAGTAGCGATATCCGGGTAAGCTTTGCTGATCTTCAGGACGATCCTATTAATACAACAGTTCGGACACCCGGGTAAGCTTTGCTGATCGTGAGAAAGTTCCTATTAATACAACAGTACCGACACCGGGGTAAACTTTGTTGATCTTGAGGAAGATCAAACTAATACAACAATACCAATTATCGGGTTACTGATGCTGATCTTGTAGACGAAAAAATTGTTACAACAGTAGCGATACCCGGGTAAGCTTTGCTGATCTTGACGATGATCCTATTAATACAACAGTACCGACTCCCGGTTAAGACACGCTCATCTTGAGGGCGATCTTATTAATATAACAGTACCGACACCAGTGAAAGCTATGTTGATCTTGAGGGCGATCGAATTAATCCAAAAGTACCGACACCCGGGTAAGTTTTGCTGATCTTGAGGACGATCCTATAAATACAACAGTACCGAAACCTCGGTGATCTTTGCTGATCTTGACGACGATCCTATTAATACAACAGTTCCGACACCCGGGTAAGCTTTGCTGATCGTGATGACGATCCTATTATGCAACAGTACCGACACCGGGGTAAGCTTTGCTGATCTTGAGGACGATCCTATTGATACAACAGTACCGACACCCGGGTAAACTTTGCTGTTCGTGAGGACGATCCTATTAGTAGAACAGTACCGACACCCGGGTAAGCTATGCTGATAACTATGCTGATAGCTATGCTGATATTGACGACGATCATTTTAATACGACTGTACCAACACCTGGGTTAGCTATGCTGATCTTGAAGATGATCCTATTTATTTAACAGTACCGACACCCGGTTAATCTATGCTCATCTTAACGATGATCCTATTAATACGACAGTACCGACACCCGGATAAGCTATGCTGATCTTGACGATGATCCTATTAATACAAAAGTACTAACACCCGGATAAGCTTTGATGATCTTGACGATGATCAAATTAATACAACAGTACCGATAGTAAGCTATACTGATCTTGAGGACGATCCTATTAATACAACAGTTATAACACCTGGGTAAGCTACGCTGTTCTTGACGACGATCTTATTAATACAACAGTACCGACACCCGGGTAAGATATGCTGATCTTGAGTAAGATCATATTAATACAACAGTACCGAAACCCAGGTTAGAAACGCTGATCGTGAGGACGATCCAATTAATACAAAAGTACCGACACCCGGGTAAGCTACGCTGATCTTGCGGACGATCGTATTAATACAACAGTTATAACACCTGGGTAAGCTACGCTGTTATTGACGACGATCTTATTAATACAACAGTACCGACACCCGGGTAAGATATGCTGATCTTGAGTAAGATCTTATTAATACAACAGTACTTATACCGGGATAAGCTATTCTGATTTTGAGAAAGATCCAAATAAATACAACTGTACCAATTATCGGGTTAGCTATGCTGATCTTGAGGACGATCCAATTAATTCAACAGTACCGACACGCAGGCTAGTTATCCTGATCTTGGGGACGATCAAATTAATAAAACAGTACCGACACCCAGGCTAGCTATGCTGATCTTGAGGACGATCCTGTTAATACAACAGTACCTACATCGGGGTGAGCTATGCTGATCTTGAGGACGATCCTATTGATACAACAGTCCCTACACCGGGTTGAGCTATGCTGATATTGAGGACGATCCTACTAATACAACAGTACCGACACCCCGGTAAGCTACGCTGATCTTGAGGACAATCATATTAATACAACAGTACCGACAACGGGGCAAGCTATGCTAATATTGAGGTAGATCAAATTAATACAACAGTACCAATAATCGGGTTACTTACGTTGATCTTGAAGATGATAAAATTGATACAACAGTAGCGATATCCGGGTAAGCTTTGCTGATCTTGAGGACGATCCTATCAATACAACAGTTCCGACACCCGGGTAAGCTTTGTTGATCGTGAGAAAGTTCCTATTAATACAACAGTACCGACACCGGGGTAAACTTTGTTGATCTTGAGGAAGATCAAACTAATACAACAGTACCAATTATCGGGTTACTGATGCTGATCTTGAAGACGAAAAAATTGTTACAACAGTAGCGATACCCGGGTAAGCTTTGCTGATCTTGACGATGATCCTATTAATACAATAGTACCAACTCCCGGTTAAGACACGCTCATCTTGAGGGCGATCTTATTAATATAACGGTACCGACACCAGTGAAAGCTATGTTGATCTTGAGGGCGATCGAATTAATCCAAAAGTACCTACACCCGGGTAAGTTTTGCTGATCTTGAGGACGATCCTATAAATACAACAGTACCGAAACCGCGGTGAGCTTTGCTGATCTTGACGACGATCCTATTAATACAACAGTAC